GTAGGGTCCTGCTCTCCACTCTTCTCCCTTGATGGTCCCAGGGGCCTCTACTCCTAGACTGCAAAGTTAATCACTCCCCTCCTCGCTACAAAACGTGTACCTTTACATTTCCAACCCTCTCAGTCAGCTCTGATAACAATTATTCACTATTGTATCACAAAAGACCTATCCGCATTTCCTTTCATCAGCCCCATCTAGACAGATTGGATACTACTCAGTGGAGATTCTACCTTCCTCCATTCCCTCTTGAAAGCTTGTAAGCCAGTCACTTCTTGCCTGTGTAGACCCCCCTCCTCCATTTAGGGTAGCCAATGTCCAAGTTGCCCATCCCTGTCTACTTTGTGTATGGAAGGGGTGGGAATGATCCTTGCTGTAAAGATTTGTTCCCTCTTTTGAGCTACTGCATCCATAAGTGTAGGTCAAGTTCATCAAATTGTATCAGATTACTCTTTTTTCCCTCTTTCTTCTTCTGGTTGAGCTCTGATCATCCAGTCATTGAAGCCAGGTCAAGTGGGTATTATCTGCAAGTGTGGGTGCTCTTGTGCATACGTCCTCTCTTCTTATCAGCTGGACGTTTCACTCTCCACTCTAGTCCTCTGCGGCTATGTCGTTCATGATAACTTTTAAGACAAATATCCGTGTACCACTTTGCTGTTACTACTCCTCTTTAAATGGCTTATTACAAATTCCAGTGGTCATTTTGTCTTCTTCCAAGTATGCATCACTGGGAAAATAAATTGTGTGTGTGGGGTGGGCATGGGACATAGGTATTGGATGTTATTTTGCCCATTTGACAAACTTCAGAAAGGCTGAGTGGTTTGCTGAAGGTTTTAGTAAGTATCAGAAGTCCACCACCTGTCTGTCAGTTTATTGTACATGTGGCTGGCATGCTGCTATGATACTGGAAGTTATGGCACAGTTATTTCAACACCAGCAGGCTCATCCATGTTGAGCATTAAAGCTTCCAGACGAAGAAGAAAGGTCTGACAATTTACTTCTAAAAACTAGCCAATGAAATCTGTCAGATCACAGCCGATTGATGGAGTGCTGGAAGGCACTCAAAATACACAGTGATTATAGTAATGCACTTGAGCACACCAACAATCATGAAGGTGGACTAGGACCGGTCAATGTTTTGCTCTGTTGTACTTGGCATTCCCATGGTTAGAGAAAACTCAACTTACACTGTGCTAATGTTCCCTGAGAAAACGGTGACTAACCTCAAACTTCTGTGCATTTGCCTAGCCACACTTCTGTTCCGGGGTATTTCTGACCTCAGCCCAGAGTCCTGGGAACTGAGTGCAGTCAAAGGGAGACAGGTTAGGACTAACTATCTTATTGATTTTATGCTGACCTGGCCTAATGGCCAGATGTTGTCTCAAATACTTTGGGTGAAATCCTTCTGGCCATGGGCCTTAGCCAGGTGCCGATAGATATCCAGGCATGAAAGACAGACTTAGCACCATATCCAAGGAGTTGGCAACCTGTAAAAATGATGTACTAAAGTGCTGATCCCTTCCTTGGGTAAAGAAGAGTGCTGCTTGTCAACCTTACCAATTAGAGGTGCACAGTGGTGAAACTCTGAGTGACAGCTGCCTGCTGTGGGGAAGAATGTGGTTGTCCTCTGCCCTTTCTTGAGACTGTTACTGCTTCTTCACATGTAAGTATACACTGTATTTGTGTGTGGTGCGGGCAGGTTTAGTTGTGGCAACGCTTTCCCTTTTACTCTGCTTCCATTAAAATCAGCGTCTGTGATGTAACACACACAAACACGCCCCCCCTCCCTCCCAATCAACCATTTGAGATTGGAGGGGCAGCATTTTCCCAAGGACAATGTTGGGAATTTTTAGGAAAGAAGGAGGAATGGAAACCGGAAACACAGGAAGTGGTATACTGATACAGTGATATTACATGGTGGGGATTGTGATCATTGATGTTGTTGTTGTTGTTAAGTGCCATCAAGTTGATTCTGATTAATAGCGACCCTGTATAGGGTTTCCAAGGAGCAGCTGATGAGTTTGAACCGCCGACCTTGTGATTCAAACTGACCTTGCGCCGCACCAGGAGTCTGCAATCAGTGATATGAAACAAAATGTGTATAAATTGTTGAGTGGAAAATTAATCTGCTCTGTAAACCTTCACTCAATTCACAATACAAAGTTAAAAACAAACACCTGGAAATGTACATGTTTACATTCTGTAGGAAGTATTCATTTTAAAAAAAGCAGCATCAACATCCCATCCACAGTGCCCTGTAGCATCATGACCCCTTCATTTCCAGAGCATTCACTTTCTGGGATGCCCTGAGAAGTCCTGCTAACTATAATGCTACCTTCTGTCATTGATTACTTTGCAGAAGAGAACATAATGCATTTTATTTTTTTAATGTATTACCACTAAAGCTTCAAAACATATTTTGTATTTATGTGAGGAACTGGAAGAGACATTTTACCTTCAGGAAAACGGGAGCAACTTATGACAAGCCTTGGAGAAGCTTATAGGACTGGTTTCTAACCTTTACCTTCAAGGAGAACTCTGTGTGGTTGGAACCACTCAGGGTAAGCATGAGGAGAAAGCTTATCTAGAGAGGTGGAGTGGAATAGTCCATGAGTTTCTATTCTTTGCTTATTTCACAGAGTTATATATGTAAATATCAATGATGTTCTGATCTTGGCCAAAAAGAAGCACTGGAACCCAATGGATTTACAATGATAGATTCTTTATTATCTACAGTCACAAAGGATTGTACAAAAGCTGTTTTAATTACCAAGCAAGTACACTCAGGCATGTGGAAAATTTTGGTCCTTTCTGCTAAGCTGTCAGATGTCTGAGACAGTTGGCCAGGAGGCTGTGTTTTATGTCCTGGCTTAACATTTCCGAGGCTGCTGAATAATGTAGATCCTTTTTAGTGGAGCAACCTTCTCCAGGGCAGGTCTGGGTTTTTGATGTGCCATATGTACTGATGTTGGGGATTTATGGCTGAGCTAAAGGTGAGAAGGATAGACAAAATAAGCATATTAGATCTTTCAGTCATGAAATATTAAAGTAGTTGAAAACAACACAGTTGATCATGGGAATTTCACAATTTTATTTATTTCTTTGATAATATCTCTTTACTCCATACCACTTCCAGCCCTGGGCTCAGGGAGGTACATGCCAACCTCATATATTTTTCTCTGATTTAAAAAAATTAAGACATATATATGATATATAAAAGAATATATACAACATGTAAGTATAGATTATGTTTGCTGTCAGGTGCCATCGAGTCAGAACCGACTCATAG